GCTTTTGCCACTGAGCTAAATCCCCAGCCCCCTGGAAGATTTTCTTTAAAGTGTGTGGATGATGGTGATTAAGTATTGCTACTGCAATAAATAACTTAAAAGAACTTTTAAAACCCTTTTAAAGAAAGAAACTAATTCTATAGGTCACTTTTGGTGATGTGACAATTTTAATGATACTAATTCTGCCTGTCAGGAAGATGAGGGTTTTTTCCCATTTTCGTACATCTTCACTATTCTCTTTCTTCAGAGTTATATGATCTTTCACCTTCTTGGCTTGGTTGATTCCTAGGTCTGTAATATTTTTACAGACCTAGGAATGTTCTTGTTTTTCTGATTTCTTTTTTGGTGGGTTTATTGTTGGTATACAAGAACGCTGTTGATTTTTGTGTATTTATTTTGTATTCTGCCACTTAGCAGAATTTGATTATCAGTTTTAGGAGTTTTTATATCATCTGCTGTTTTTACTTTTTATTTTATTAGCATATGTTTGCAGTACATTCAGTCTACAATCTTGGGGAGTGGTTACATGTACATACTTATTTTTTTTTTTTTAAATCTTAAAGACATAGTTTTATGTACATACTTGTTGGTGTATGATTTTTTAAAAATAATTTGTTGAATTCTATTTGTAAGTATTTTATTGAGGATCTTTGCATCTGTGCTCACCAGTGATACTAACCTGTATTTTTTAAGTTTTATTGAGCCTATATCATATTTTTGTATCAGGGTAGTATTTAATGAAATGAGTTTGGAAGTGTTTCCTCTCTTTTAATTGCATGAAAAAATTTAAGGCATATTGGTATTAGTTCTTCTCTTAAGTTCCAGTAAAATTCAGCAGTGAATTCTTCGTCTTGAGATTTTCTTGGTTGTTGGTTACTGCATCAATTTCATTGCTTATTATTGGTCTATTTAGGACTATTTATTCTTGCTTCAATTTTGTTAGGTCATAGGAGTCTGGGAATTTATCCATTTTTTTCAGAGTCTACAATTTATTGTAATATATATAAGTTTTCAAAACAGTTTCTAGTAATTCCTTGGATTTCTGTGGTGTCTGTTGTAATTTTGCCATTCTTATTTCTAATTCTATTAATGCAGGTCTTTTTTTCTTTGTTTTGGTAAATTTGGCAAAGAGTTTATCAATCCTTTCAAAGAATCAACTCTGATTCATTGCTCCTTTGTATTATATTTTTAGTGTCACTTTCATTGATTTTTTTTTTTTTTTCTCTCTGATTTTTATAATTTCTTTCCTTCTACCAGTACAGAGTTTGGATTCCTTGTTTTTCTAGGACCTTGAGATGCATAAAGAAATGTATTATTTTGGATCACTGTTTTTCTAATGTAGGCACTCACAGATATAAACTTGCCTCTTAGAAATGCTTTTACAGTTTGCTATAGATTCTGGTATGTTGTATTATAATTG